TTATTATCTAAAATTTAAATAATTTAAATTATCAAAATAAAATTTAAAATGAGTCCCAATAATCATACAAATCCCAATTTTTTGATGACCAAATGAAGGATGATTATTTGTCGTAGGCAAGATAAGATTTTTCACTACAGATGAAGAGGGGGAGGAGTACAACGAGATGATTTTTATTATGGAGATATAGATTTTAGATGGAAAAAATAATTATTGATTTATTTTATTATATTCAAATAATTATTTATTTATTTTATTATTTTCAAATAATTTATTTCTTCAATAAAATTCTATTTTAATTAAATGTAAGAAATGAAAATTTTAAATAGTTTATTATTTTCAAATAATTTCTTTATCTTTTATTTTCTATCAACTAATTTTAATTTATTGCAACGTTATTATATATTTTTTCACTTTTATATTTATTTTTAAAATTTTTATTGTTAGGGTGAGAAATATTGACTCAATTTTTTTAATGTCCATCGAGTGGAATTTGAAAAATTCAAAGGTGAAAATTAAAATTTGAGAATAATATAGGATTGTGAAAAGATAAAAATGATAATTTTTTTATATATATATTTATGAGGTAACATTTGGTAATTTTTATAAGTCAATTTTTAATTATAAATATGAAATGCATGTTTATTTTTCTCTATTTACAAAATAAAAGCAAAATTTATATTTCTTAAGTTGCTATGGTAATGGGTGATGCTAGCAAAAATTGATGAAAGAGAAAAAATGTTGAAAACATAAGGGAAAAAACATAGAGAAGAGAATAAATAATAATAATAATAAATTATAGGGTATTGCTATTGGTTGCAGTGACACTATAAAAAAATAAATGAGAGAATAAATAGAAAGAAGTATGAAAGAAATAAAATAAAAAATGGAAAGATAAGGATAATTTCTCCAAATATGTATTTTTCATACGGAAAAAAAAAAATCAAATGCCTATATGTATTTTTAAATTTTTATTGAAATTCTAATTGATCAAAATAGGTATTCATAAAATTGGTTGCCTTTTTAAAAAATAAAACATTTTTTACATTTTGTTTTGTAATTTTCAAATAAAGAATATTATTTAATTTAGTATAAGGTTTGATGGTGATCAATTTGTTAGTTTTTATTTATTTATTTATTTATTTTTTATTTTGTATTTTTAAGTTAAGGTTCTACTATATATATATATATATATGCTTGTCTTAACAATTTGGAATTTTTTAAAATATTGTATAGAATTTAATAATTTTGTTCAATATTATTTAAATAATGTATGAATTTTTATTATTTTTTTTTTTTGTAAAACCTCATGAGAGAGGTAAGTGAAATTTATTACTTAAATACCTAAAGACAATCTTAAAATTTTTTACTCATGGTACATGACATCAGTATGATATCAATATATTTTGTTAAATAAACTAATAAAAGGTTAACAGTGAGAAATCTTAATAATAGTTTTAAAAATAATTTTTTTTTATAATTATTAAAATTAGATAAGAAATCTTTATAATTATCAAAAATGTCGAAGGTAAGTGTAATTTACCCTAGTTCTTGCGGTTAGGCATTTTTCTTCATCTCAGACACATTGGCAATGGAAAGCAGCTGGCCTCATCGTCTCCAAATCTCTCACCACAGTTCTTTTAGTGGACGCGACCCTCAACAAATTTTGAATTAAATTATAATTAAAATTTTATTTTTATATTTTATTTTATACTTTTTTATGTATATATCATCATCAGATTTTTTATTTTAAAATTTAATTTTACAAAATATTTATATTTATTCATTTTTATATTTAAATAATTTTTAAAAAAAAATCAATTGATAATAATGCAGCAAAAGAACATTGACAGGATAATTGATCACATAATGAAAATTTTCCAGTTTTACCAAATGAAAGAGATATTGAAAAATCGACCGAGTAGATGCCCAGGTTGTCTACTATTTGGTGAAAATTGTCCAATTTTGTCAAATGAAAGAGATAATTTTCTCTAAAATAAATAACAAAATAATGTATAACTTGTAAATATAACTATGTAGTATAATAATATCAAAATTTATTTTGCTATAGCTAACCGATGCAAGTGTATTTACGGACCTTGTCTGACTAATATAATCCCAAAACTAGTATAGCAAGACTGATCCTAACGCTCTTAGGCCATGTTTGATTGACAAGACTAATAGTGAAGGATTAATAATCCTATCAAATTAGTGTGGTATTCACTATTCAATTGGATTAATTATCCATTGAATTAATAATCACACCCCTACCCCATTAATAATAATCCTACAAATTTGTTAGATTAATTATCCATTGGATTAATAATCCTAAACCAAAATATTAAAACAAACATATAATAATTGGGCTCACGGATTAATAATCTCAATCACATACTCTAATCCATCCAATCAAACATGTCCTTAGATCAGTGATTCAAATTCTCTCTCTCTCTCTCCGCAGGAAGGCAAGGTAGGGTTTTGCATTTCTGAAGATGGGTACTGGGGTATTTGCATTTCCCCCAATTCATGGAACTGTTAATTGATTTTTATTTTATTTTTTTCACTGTGCTTTGTTCAATAGATTGGTTCATTCCGTACTTTAAATTTTACGTAATTGCTAATTTGAAGCATATTTTTTACTGTTACTAGTGAGTGACATCAAGTCATCATCATCACTATTTTACTGTTTAGGTTTTGCATTTCACAATAATGATGAAGATTATGGTTCATAACAACTATTGATATATATATACACACACAAAAATAAATCTGATTGAGTTTAGGGGTTCTTTAGAAATCTTTTTCCTGTTCCATATCACTGCTTGCTTGTGCAATGTTTGTTAGGATTCGTTTGGGAAGTGAGTTGGCTTTTTGACTTTTTAACTATTTTAATCTGGGACTAAAAAGTCTCGTTTGGGAAATTTTTTTGGTTTTTTTGATTTTTTATGAGAGAAAAAATATAATAATTATGATTTAGATGTAATGTTTTGTCTTATTTAGTTAAAAAGTCTATTTTATCTTTTTGTGGCTAAAATAGCCCCAAACCCAACCCAACCCAACCCAACCCTTCTTCCCAAACGAAGCCTAGTTGATTATATTTTCTATTTTCCTTCAACAAATGTCGATTTCTAAAATTTCTAAAAATCAAAGAAACCCAAACAAAAATGCATGTTTGGGTTTTTGATTATTTTTTAGTAAACTTTTTTCATATTATGATCTATTTTATTTTATTTTTTAAAAAAACTTTTTAGATGCATCTAGGTACATTAAAAAGTTTAAAAATTCAACTAAAAATTTTATCTCTTGGGTGGCGTTTTACATTGCTAGCATGCCATAGAAATATAATAGCATACCTAGCCCAATTATCTGTTGCCATACTCGAGAGGTACACACGGTTCTATCTTTATTACTACTACTATACTTAGCTAGGCATTGCCTTTAAAGACACTCATGCATGGCAAGAACATCGACAATTTTCCATTGAAGCTTTGTCTTTGTCTTGATTTCGTCTCACAATTGACTTCTCTCTTGGCTTAAACTCTGCATGCTAGCAAAGGCAAATTGAAAAAAGTAAGAACCAGAAGTTAGCATGAAGGAAAAACATCCATAAGCTAAAATAAATTAAAGAATCATCTACAGGCATAGGAAATATGTTACGAATCTCCTACTCAAATCAGTTTGATTCATGCTGTTAATGTATATATGGTATATATTCCTACATATATTAACATCCCCCTCGAAATCAAGGAGGATAACATCTTAAGTTTGGAGGGAGAAACTAAAACATGAAACCATTCATACATTAACACATGCAAATCAGAAGATAGACGATGCAACATCCATACAAAATCACGAGAGAGAGGAAGGAGCAATCAAGCCACAAATCCCCAATTCATTATCAAGTGAATGCACATTTTAATCATCAGGTATTGCTGAATTCATATTTTGTTCATGTGTCTGATTTTTATATTCTTTCCTAGTTGAATCCCACAACCATGGAGCCTTGTCTTTATTGTTTTGGACAAATTCTCATTCTGAATGAAATTCACTGTTCCCCTCCAAACTTTATATGCTTTTGAACATTTCATCATATCACTGATCCTCAATTGCAGCTATCAGACAATCCTGGAAATTTTCTTGTCTCTAATACATTGAATGGAGCATGCCATTACAATGGTCCTTACTGCAAAAATCAAAATGGGCTTTCTTGATGCCTAATTTCCTCCACTGTCAAAATATTCTTCTCCTTTTCGTTCTTGGACTCGTTGGTTTCTCAATGTATGCTTATATCTTGTGACTTGGAGATAGCATTATATGTTCCGACACTGCCATGGCTGTGTGGAACAAGTTATGTGAACACACGAGCTCATGTATTGGGCATTAGCAGCTGCCCATTCTACTTCCATTTTATAGCAATTGCATCTGGGACATGTTCTTTTTCTTTTGCGGTTGAATAAAATTTCGTGATCTAATAATGAACAAGTTGTTATTACTCTGCTTCTATATATGATTGCTGTTGTAATGTTTGCGCTTTGGAAAAAAAATTTTGGTAGTCAATTTTCTGCTTATGCTTTTGATTCCCACTGAAACTATCCGAACAAACAATGCTCGTGAATGTGCCACATTATATTGCATTAAGATATTACAAACCAACAAAAAATGTACAGATTTGTAGAGGATGATATGGTTGATTTGAGACTAAATTGTGGAAACAATGCATTTTTATAAGTGAATAAAGACAGTTTCAAAAGTGATACAATTTTGGCATAGCAAAAAATGAACTTTTTATTTAGTGAATGAAGTCCTCAGAGTGGACTTGACTGGATGCAATTTTCCTTGGGAGGCATTTATATCTGGAAATTGAAGCCCTTTTCTTGTGTTTATATTTTGTTTCCAACTTTCAAATTTTAAAAACAAAAACAGAAAACATTGGACAAAAACCTCTTGTGCATTCTCACTAAACCAAGCACATCACATCAGTTTGTCACCAAAGAGAAAAATAGTAAGCAATGCCAAGTTCTTCCATACAATTTCATTCTTATTTTTGTATTTTTCAGAGCAAGCTAACAAACATGAAATGAATTGGTGTAATATATTCTTTGGACTGTGATGCAGGGTATCCCCCTTTACATAACCCATCATGTGCAAATGAATTGTTGAATCCTAAAAATAAAAAATAACAAATAAAAACCTATATATTTGCAAATTGCAACATAAGTCGAGTCTGTGTCAGAGTTTGAGAAAATCCTTTTGTCATAATTACACAAAGGCGGTATTCGAAGTTGGAAGCTGATCACAGCTTGCCGAGACCCATCCTATCACCTGCTTCTCGTTGTCATAAATCAACATTTTATCTTGCATCGATATATCTACAGAAAAACAGGGTCAAAAGAAAATCATAAAATCTACAACATTTTATTGTTTGTTTCATGTAAATACTAAAATTCTAATTACCTCCAATAACGTTGTAATCTTGAAGTCCCACTTCAGCACCATTTAGAATTCCCAAGCAAACATTTCCCTTAGACTGAATCAAACAATTCTTGTTAGTGTTTTTTGTTCATTTACTGAAAATAAAAAAAGTATACAAATGTCGCTTACCGAGATGATCAGATAAGCTTCAGGGGGGATTTCAAACTGCGTTTTAGTTCTCCAACCACTCGAAAAGCTCAGTGCCAGCGGCTTGAAGTATTTCTTAACATCGCGTAAATTTTTGAAGGGTTTCTTGCCTTTCCAACACACCGAGAGCGTCCGGTCATCCTGTGTTTCGCTTAAGGGCTTTCCATTCAGTTCTTTCCTCAACTGGAAGCACAAACAGCATGCTATATATTAAAATTTAGCAAGCACAGTACAAATCATCTGTCTCATTTCTTTCATATTCTCATTGGAAATGCCAAGTATGTGATTGTAACTATGAGAAGTCACAGAATTTTGTGAAAAATTGTTACGAACTCACCAAAGAAATGAAACTTTGGTAGGTCTGACCATTGAGGTAGGTGTAAGAACTCCCGGAGTCAAAAACTACAAGAAGATTCTTAGAACCTATCGGTTTTCCACCGTGAATGAGCTCCGCGGACCCAAGTGAATAGTGATGGCTGATACAAAATTGCAGTTAGAGTTTGCTATAGGAAGTAGAAATATGCTTTGCATTAATTTTACAAATGAATGAAAAAAAAATGAAGAGAGAAGGGTCATGGAATGGTTATTACGGGTTATCACGTGACATTGGTGCCCAAACCACACGCGAAGAATCATAAACGTCGTCCCCAAAGAAAATATATCCTCCTCCTTTACTACTTAAGCAATGGCCGACCACGTTCCGAACCAGGCCCTGACTATGTAGCTGTGAGACAATGCTGGATTTTCCCTTGCCGAGGCCTAGTACCCCATCTAAGGGATGATAGTTGGATGTCCCTGGTGGCGGCCTCTGATCATAGCCGCATCTGCAGATAAGAGAATCAATCAAAATATAAAATCTAACTAAATAATGTGTCGGATGCAACTTGAAGAGATGAAACAATGATCTTGAAGAGATGAAACAATAAATTGGTACTATCTCTAGAAATGTCTAACCTAATTTTCAAAAATTTACATAGTTATTTGCAAACAAACTGAACTGTTTATGAACGGCTTGAGCTCGGCTTGAGCCAAAATGAACAATCCCGAGTCAAATTTTTAAGCGTAATCGAGCCGAGCTTGAGTAGATCAATTAGACTTGTGAACACAAGGATATATAAATTAATATTTTTTTGATAATATTCCGATTATATTATGTTTAAGTTATATGCTTTCTCTGTTTACATTTGGCATCTATGCAAATTTACATATTTGATTAATAAAATTTATTAATAGTATGAGCTCGGCTCGTTTATGGCATCTTTACAAATTTACATATTTGATTAATAAAATTTATTAATAGTATGAGCTCGGCTCGTTTATGGCATCTTTACAAATTTACATATTCGATTAATAAAATTTATTAATAGTATGAGCTCGGCTCGTTTATGGCATCTTTCTGCTGCTTCAGCAGTCAACACAGGCTGACAACAATGTGATACACTATTATGGAATGTGCTTGCATATCATGTTCAATTTTTGACAGTTTCAAGTGATTTCCCTTTGAAGCAATTTCAAAAAGAACACTGTCATTTAAGTTGAGACTGGTTTCTAGGATCATCGTAATTATAATAGAATGGAATGCAAGACAATTCAGATAACAGAAAACAGGCAATGTTACCAACCCAATAGCCAGACGAGGACTGACACGTATCCCATTTGTGAAATTAAGGGCAAGATTGTCCTTCACGAGCACACCAGCGGACGAACCCCCATCCGCATACTCAACTATATAATCGCATTGCTCTGGGTTTTCGCACTTGTAGTCATCAGAAGGCTGTAAGGAGGCACAAAGGGGATCCCTACAAGCCACCAGGTCGTTGCTTGGTCGGTAAAGCGGGTGAGGCCCCTACAATTAATAATTTTACTATTATTTTCATCTCCAAAACAATGTCAGCGTCAATTAAAATGGAATTATGTAACCATATAGCCCTTAAATTGCAAAATGAAATTGAAATTGAAATTGATGAATTATGGAATCAATCCTTCCTGTGAACTCATTCCAAAAACCAAAGCTCATGCATCATTACAGGAATTAAAAGGCTCAGGGAATATAGTACCCGAAAGGCTCTATTGTTTTTTTTTTAACAACAATTTATGTAGAATGTGGCATCAATTTGGAGTTAATTGATTTCATGATGAGAAGAATGGCAAATGAAAAGCTAGGTCAAGCATGGTTATGTAATCGAATTCTAAAAATACAAAAAGTTGTAAAAATGAAAAAATGAAAAAACTGATTAATTTTTTTTAAACCTTAGTGCAGTGAACGCAAGGCGCATCACATTGAAGCCAAGTGAGGTCACTGCCAGTGTCGGGATCGAGAAAGTAGGGCTTTGATGGCTGCCCTATGTTGAGCTGAACATGATAAAATCTGCACAAGAGAAACATAAGGTTTGGTTGTGCAAAAATACCAAACAAAGAATTGCAGTGATGAATTTTCCATTATCAATTGATGCAATTTCAAACCTCTCTTTCACTTGCATATTCTTAAATAATTTGCAAATCAGTTAGAAATTTGGTTCCTGGGAATCATTCAAAATAATTGCACTATGAATGCAAGTGGGAGCAGTAATATGGTAATTTCTTACCAAAAAGCAAATTTGAAAAGACTCCAAATTTCAACTTTTTTAGATTCTAAAAAATAAAATACAAAAAATGCAATGGTCAAACTCCACCTGAACTTGAATTTTCACTAATTTTTTTACTGAATTGTGTTGATTAGATTACCCTTCTTTGCAATTCCAACTAGGAGTTTTAGGCTGTGTTTGCATTTGATGAAGAATTTATGGAGCGAAAAGGAAAAGGATAGAAAATGTGAATGAAATTCCAGGTAACCTTTTTCTTTTTTTAAGGCTGTTTGCGTTTGAGGATGATGATGTGGAGGGAAAAGAAACCACAAATTCCTTCCCAAATCACTCTCCAAATCCATGATTCAGACCCAATGTGTTTGGATAATGAATTTGGATGAAAATTTGAAAAGAGAAAAGGTAAGTACAATACAAATAAAATCCTACTAAATCTCTATTCAAATGCATCGTCCAAACACGGCCTAAAAAAAGAGAGAAGCAGTGTAATTTTTAAAAAGTGAACAAAAATTGAAGGAAATGCAAAACAAATTATACACAAGAAATTGAACTACTTCACAATCTTTAAAGATACAAAAATCTATGAGGAATAATCCCCATAAAACAGATCTCTAGAGAGAGAGGGGGGGAGGCAATAATAATAAAATACCCTTGGGGATAAACATTGCCATAGATTGGGAGAACAACAGAGGACCCAACTGGGTTGACGACCGACGAAGAAAACATTGATTTCCACCACGACTTCTGCGATTGTTGCTGATTTTCATAACCTGATCCTGATGTTGATGTTGACGCAGGAGATGAAACAGAGACACCCAAAAGCATAGCTACTACTACCATCACCAACATAACCACCCCCTTCATCTCTCTCTCTCTCTCTCTCTCTCTCTCAATTCGGAGATTAAAAATGGGTAGTACAAAAAAACTGAGGATTTTAAGCAAAACAAGCTATGCGATGTTAATTATTTTTGTCTGCTACTTCAGCAGTCAACACGGGCTGACAACAATGTGATACACTATTATGCTATTTATATATGTTTATTTTATGACAAATTGTGGGTTTTTATCAGCATAATTAGGAGAAATAAATAGTGTGGAGGGAGGAAGACCTCTTAAGAAAGTTATGAATTTTTTGTATTGAAAGTTTTGAATATTTGTGATGTATGTTATGTATAAAGCCCTCCTTTGAAATGTTGGGGAGAGAGGTTACAAAGTTAAAATACTTATAAAAAGATAAAATAAATTACAAAATTAAAATAATTTTATCTATATTATTATTTTATTTTTTTATACTTTTTATAAGAGTTTTTTTTCTCTCCATTACAAGGTATGAAATTATTTTAAGGATAAAATAATAAAATTAAATATATTTTATTATCTCCTTACATCCCTTAATTTTTAATTCCTACTTCTTTTCTTTATTTCTCAATTTTTCTTCTCTCTTACGCATCCTTTTAAAAAAAGTGAGCATCATAGTGTTTTAATCATAAAAGAAAGTAATGGATATTGAAACGGGGGTAAAAAATCATCAAAAAAATGAAATTGTAAGTTTTTTTTATTTATTTGGTAAGTTTTTGTTTCGTTTTTCTAGACTGTTATTCGACATTAGTTCAGTGTTTTGAAATCGAACGAAATAAAATAGTCCGACATCACATTGCCGAATAAAAAATATATTTCTAGTAACTAACTGCCGAATAAAATATACATTTCCAGTAAATAAGACTGAATTTTTTAAATTTGTTCGGTTACTCATTATCGTGTATTTCCAATTTCATTTTTTTATATTTTTGCTTGGAAGAATTATGCTTCTACCCATTGCAACAATGCATGTACTGCATTATTAATGAACTCTAATCATGAATTCATTACAAACAAGGTTTGTTAAGTTTTTTTATAAATATGATTTTTTTTTTAATTTTTAATTTGTATTTAGTTTTATTAATAATTTGACATATAAATGTAATTATTATCTTTAGATTTTTAGTAGTCGTCAAGTATTAATTAAATGGGATTTTTGACATTAGGAAGAATACTTGATTTGTCATTGTTATAAAAATATCAGATACGGGAGGTAATAGCAGAAAATCAAAACTCACACTTGATCAGATGCATTCGAATGTAGTGTACTACGTGCAATTATTTGACTCACGAGAAAATGTTTATGACCTTACCTCTATCTTATCCTACTTTGAACCTCACGCTGGATTTAATCATTGGATAACTATGCCCAACATAGGCCATTTGATAGTATCATACTACCAAGTCGTCCTTTATCATTTATCTATGCAACAGTGCTTGACGTTTCAACTACTTAAATCAGTACCGATTACAATACTTGATCAAAGAGATATCTGCATAAGATTTGTAAATAGAAACCATTTCGTGTAGGTAACGTACCGAGCCTACTTAGATTATCACCATATCTTATTTTGTTATTCTACTTATTGATGTTTTTGTTATAGATTTATCTGCAATCTAGTCACCCAATATATCTGATAGCAAATAATTTGATTTGTTTTCATCACTTGTGCGCTAGTAGATGGGAGAAAGCATATGCTACCCGTATTCATCAATTACGTATGTTTGTCAGCCCTAATGTAAGAACTATCGAAACTATCAATATGGACAAATTGTTATAACATGTTTGATTGATGGATGCAAACAATGACAATTTTTTTTTTTTTTTTTTATGGATGTTTGTACACTTGATGTCTTTATGAATATTTTTATGGATACTTTTTACGTATAATTTTATAGATATGTATTTAATTTATAGATGTTTGAAAGAAAAAGCAAATCTTTTAACATACAATGACAAGTAGTTGGATAAATCTATTATAGTTTGACAACGTGACACTAGAGTAATCTAATTTGTATAGCAATGTTTCACCGAACAAGCACTTCACAAGTGGCCCCGAATTAATTTCATGTTATCATTTAATCGAACGACAACATATTGCTGGAAAAAAAATTCTGGTAACATGGCACTGGATTAATTCAAATTTATTAGCATTGTATTACCAAACAAGCTAGGCACAAATTTAAAAATCATTGTTTGGAAGAAAAGTGGTTTTGTAAATGTATAGCAACAAAATGTTGGATAAATTTATTTTTTCTGGCAACATAACACCGGAAGAATATAAATTGTTTAGCATTATGTGACCAAACAGGCACTTCGTTGTGCGCTCCAGTCACTTTCTTCCGTGCGTCTTTCTTTTTTCCCTTGCTACGTCCTTTCTCTATGCTCTTATTTTCCCTCCAAAAATTATTGGTGTAAAGAGATGAAAAGGTTTTAAAGAGTCTTATTTTAGGATTAATTTTGGTAATATAATAGGTGTAACGAGAATAACATTTTTTTAGTGGTGTAATGAGATAGAGGGTGTAAAGAAGTAAAGTAATGGTATAAATAGAATCACTCAAAAGTTAATAAGACAAAATATCACATACAAACCATAATCATTTCACTTTTTCTCTTACAAAAGTAAAAAAAAAAAATCAAAAAGTCCAACTCAAACATGACTTTTAGCCCAGGCTAAAATAGTCAAAAAACTAACTCACTTTTCAAACGAAACCAAATTACAAATGATTAATTTATAAAGTCAATAATTTGTTGGGTCTCATGGGGCTCATTACAAAAGGTCTGTTTTAGTGATTTGAATCGTTTATTTTATTAAATTTTATGTGTAGATTGTTTATCAAAAAAATAAATTGATCTGATACTTATAATTATTGCTTTTACTATATTTATCTTTAAAAAAGAATGAGATGTATAATTTTAAAAATGAACCATTCATTTTTTAAAAATAAGTTTAATAAAATTATAGTAGTTTAGATCATCAAAATATGGCTTGTGATGGGTCCCACGGGGCCTAATAACGAATTAGGATCCTCCCCTTGAGCCCCCTCCTTCATTCCCTCCTTGCATGGGCCTTCGGGTCTACTTTGAGGCCCAGTTTTGATAATCCGAACCGTTCATATTTTTAGATTTATTCAGTATATCATACCTGTAAAAAATCAAGTTGATCGAATATCATAAAGTATGTGTTCGGAAAACTGTTTATTAAAAAATAGTTTGTAGTCCCAATTTTCTGAACGCATACTTTCTGATATCCGATCAACTTGATTTTTTACAGGTATACTATACTGAATAAATCTAAAAATATGAACGGTTCGGATTATCAAAACTGGGCCTCAAAGTGGACCCGAAGGCCCCTGCAAGGAGGGAATGAAGGAGGGGATCTGGACTCCCTAATAACATCCTCTAATCCACGTACAGAAATTACTGGTGAATTGGACACAAGCCCTCTCCTTAATTTATGATATGCATTTTGTAGTGAAAATTATACATTATTATAATTATGTTATGAATAATTAAAGTATAAATGTTGCGAAGTATTTTGATAAAAAAATTATTGACTTCTTGTGATATTTATTGTGAAATATTATTACTCTCTCTATCTCAAAATAATATTTTTTTATTCTATTTTTCATTGTCTCAAAATATTAGTCCATTTTTCAAAAATTAAGAATTAAAATAATATAAATTTCCTATTTTGTCATTTTTTTAAAATTCATTAATATTAATATTTTGAAATGTAATAATTATACTACCAAATGGTAGTTTTAAAAACTTAATATTTTTAAAGTGTAATAGTATATTATTAAAAAAAATTATTTTTTTTAAAAAAAGATTAATATTTTGAAACGGAGTGAATATTATAATTATGTATACGGTAGTTAGGATGCATGGAAGCTCCATCAAGCTATACATAATTTTAATGTAAATTATTGTATGTAATTTTTGTTTACTTGTCTTAGATGGGTTTTTGGATTCTTTTCAATAGGGCCTTTGCTTGTGAACTAGGGATTAAAAGAGGTATTGCTTTGATTTGATTTCACCCTTTACTTTTGCATTGGACTTAAAAGTGCATTTTCTAAACTTAAAATATGTGGATTTCTTGTTAATGTGTTGTTATGCTTTCTTTTATTCCTCTCATTGCCTCTTGTGGGAGGATTGTTTTGGTATCTATGAAACACTAGAGTATTTGTCATTAAATAAATAAAGAAATTACACTCATCTCTTTTGAGATTTTATAAAAATATAATTAATTTTACATTTTAACATAATTATCTTAAGATTTTAATTTATATAACTTTTAAAAAAATTTTATCAGTAATTCATTAATCGTATGAATAAAAAAAATAATATTATCATCTCTCTTCTATTAAAATATATATTTATTTTTATTTATTTAAGTATCTACCGACCATTGGCAGTAGTTTCAATTAGTTTAATCATAGTGTAATTATATAAAAAATGTGAGACCAATTATATTTTCTATAACTCAAGGGAGGTGAGTGTAATTTACCCACACACACAAAAAAAAAAAAAAAAGACATTAATTATAAAAAATATTTTAAGAAACAAAGAGCTAAATATTTCAAAGCCACCTATTTTTTCCCTAATATTTTAAAGTTAAAAATTGATAATTTGCAATAAGATTTAAAAGCACTTCTAGTGTAACTTCAAAATAATTAGAGTAATATTTTTAGGTTTAATTAATATATTTTTGCAATATAAATCGTAAACAAAAGTCATAACAAATGCTAGTAATCTAATATAAAATTTCAAAATAAAAAAAAATTAAATCATTTAAATTACAACAAAATAAATATGGTAGTGAATAAGAGGATAGAGCTGTGATGCTTTGCTTATGTTCAAAGTTCAAGGTATAATTTTCTTTTTCTTATTTTTTTTGTAATATTAAAAATAAAATAAAATAAAATACGACAAATAAGTACTCTTTGATTTAAAGTGCTGACTAGCACTTAATAATGACGTAATGGAAATTTCTTGGAACTTTCTTTTTTCAAAGAGCGGGGACAACTAGGTCGGCAAAGGTATGGGTCAGGTTTCCTACCTCACTTTCATTTCCGCCGCTTACTCTAGCCCCGATTCGATTCTCATGAAATTCTTTTTCACTGTATCCAAATCTACAAATATAACTTTCAGGCCTCATTTGGGA